GATTTTAAATTGTTTTAACTTGAAATGAAAAGTATGATAAATGTGGTTAAGTTGTTTTAACTTGAAACTGTGAGTTAGAATAATGAAGAAACGTTCGTTGGTAGACTAGTTAAGAGAAGTTTTCTTGCGTTGAAAGTTAAAGTTGAACAAAGTTATAAAAAGTTCAGTCAACTAAAAAAAACAACGCTGAAACAACTGGAACACTGTAGTTATATCAACTGATGAACTTGAATCTGTGAGTTGAAACAAAGGCATCGTGTTGAGTTAACTTGCATTTTCAAGTAAAAGTTGAAATGTCTGACAGTGCACACACCCGGGCCAATTGCTGTGTAAAATAACTGTGTTTGTTGGCAAGTCTGTTTGGAAGAACTTCAGATTCCAAAGGGACATTTCAGATGCTATTAGACAATCTGACAAGAGCTTCATTTAAGCCCATTTGACCGACTTCACACTTACTGCAAACACTTCCAAACTGAATAAAATAAGTCATATTTCTGGAAAGAAAGTAGAATAATGACCACTGACGGAGAAGACATGATGACCAGGGGGTCAAAGTAAGATTCAGTTTAGGGACTCCCTATAAATTTCATGAACATGCCCCCAAACTTTCTTATGAGTCTAATCAGTCCAATATTTACACATGATGTACAGTAATGCACTTGTCAGTCTCTAAGCACATAGATGGGGTTAAAAGGGTGAAGTGGCCCATTGTAAAGAAACCAAGAGTCAGGGTGCAAGGGCAGTTGTATGTAGCTTCATCTGTTTTTCACTTTAGTTATGTCTCTGTGAGTCCTCATAAATCATCTCAGTTAGGAGAGGAAGGAGAAAAGGCTTCCTGGGTCATAATCAAGGCTGAACTTCAAGTGTTGGAAAGTGGACTTATTAATCAATGAGATAGAATGCCTTTGCATGGAAATCTAATGCATAACATCCAGATGCAAGGCAGTAAAATAACAGCAATTGAGGGTCAAGATAAAAACAAGTCAAACATCAAACCTTTCCGAGGCTTTTAATACGCCTTGATCTAACAAAAATATTTCTCTCATTGAGTTCTTTTGGAAGCCTAATCCACACTGATCATCTTTAGATTAGAACCCAGTTATAGCCTCAAGGTTCCCTCCCTAACTTCACTTCAGTGCGATGTGATTAATTAAAGGTTTTTCTTTGTCCAAGGAAGAACCTTACACCACTGTGTTGCTCATCGGGGTCCGGAAAGAGGCCCGGTCACAAATGCTTCACCTCTCCAGGAACAAGCGCTACACCCTTACCCCAGAGAAGCTCCAGTGGGACAAGTTCAAGCTTACATACAAGTATTCATCTGCATTTCTTCCTTCAACGCAACAGCAAATTACAGTTGTAGAAAATGGAAAAAGGAAAACATATCCTCCTGGGAAATTAAGACTGATGTTAGTTTTGGCAGGGAAACACAAGCACAGATATTTTTCAGCTGAAGTAGGTATTAGCAAACCTTATGGCAAACTTAAAGATCTTGTAGTCATACTGTTGTTGGTGTAGGCAAGCTGCACCTGAATGGATTAATCTACCTCAAATTGAAGAGCTTGTCAGTATCTTCTCATCTCATGTCAGTCAAGACGTCCATTGAAGCTTGTAGGACCAACAAAAGTTCAAAGTGCATCATCGGACAGTGATCGCTTTGCAGAACTCTCTGCTTGTATTTGAGAGGAAAATAAAGGTGCATATGGTGGTGCTTTGCAACCCCACTGCTATTGGTTGGCTGCAACACATTTGGAGCTGTAAAAAGATGATCCCAGAAAGTCCTTTATAAGATGAACTGGATTGAACTAGAAAGGTTTGGCCACCGGGTTCAAAAAGTAGGCTAATCATTGAACCAAATTTCTTTCGTTCCTGAATTAGTGAAATGACATCTTCATCTCTTACATATTGACAGTAGATGTTACCAGCTGATGAATATCTGATTCTTATAAAAATGATCCATATCAGTCTAACCTTAGCCACAATCTAAGGGAATATAAAATCTCAGTAATGGAGCTGTACTTGCAGTGCATGTGGGAATTGTGGTCTTTCTGAACAGTAGCCATTGTGTTTTGGCATATTGCTCTGTTGTAGAGGAATGTGTGTGGAGACCAGATTTAACTACATAATGCTGTTGTTTCTGAGCAGGTTGCTCTCCTACCCTACAAACTTGATAAATGCCAGTGACACGCGTCGAGGCATTGGCAAGGCTTTTGGCATGTGGAGCGACGTCTCGCCGTTCAGCTTCAGAGAGGTGCCAGCTGACCAAGAAGCAGACATTAAGATCGGTGGGTACTCTGCATGTGGCTGCATCAGTCCCCAACAGATGTTCCTTGGCTCTGAGATCCAGACTTCTGCTTTGCCGTTACTGTTTTTCTCTCCGTGCTGTCATCGCCGAAATGTCTTCGGCTCCAAACTTATTAAATCACACTACCGCAACTATATTACCAAGCTTATATTCAGCATGATTCATAATTCTAAATGAAAAAAAAAAAAAGCTTTACAACTTCCATACATGTCAGCCCATGGTGAGGCATTCTAAATGATGCTTTATCTATCCCTATGGGTGCAAACTCCAGGGTCCTGCATAAATATTCAATGACAGTGAGAGGAATGGTTGTCATCCTGCAGGGTGAAGGCTGAAGAAAAAGCTCTGTCTTTTGTAATCAATCATCCCCCCGCTGTAGTCTACACAGAGCAGAAATAATGGAGTGAGGGTTTCCCTCGGCTCTGAGGTATGTGTCTCTCTCTCCCTCTCTTGGCAGGCTTCTACCCCGTCAACCACACAGACTGCCTGCAGTCCTACTTGCACCATTGTTTCGACGGCATCACAGGAGAATTGGCTCATGCATTCTTCCCGCCAATTGGTGAGATCCACTTTGATGACCACGAATACTGGATTCTGGGAAACATGCGCTACAGCTGGAAGAAAGGCATGTGTCTTTATCATGTTTGTTGAATCTGCTAATATTTAACCCATAAGGTGATGGATGAAGCCGATGCTCAGCTGGACAGGTTGTCGGGTAAATGGCAACGGAAAGAGAAAATAACCAACAGTATCTATCTGGGGTGGTGACAGCACATAGATAAGATGCTTGCCTTTGGTGTGGGAGACCTGGGTTCGATTCCCACTGTGAGACATCCACCATTGTGTCCCTGAGCAAGACACTTAACTCCTCGTTGCTCCAGAGGCGTGCGACCTCTGACATGTATAGCTATTGTAAGTTGCTTTGGATAAAAGCGTCAGCTAAATGAAATGTAAATGTATGTCGCAGGGGTTTGGCTGACAGATCTTGTCCATGTGGCAACTCATGAAATTGGCCACGTCCTGGGACTCATGCACTCCATGGACCGGAAAGCTATAATGCACCTGAATGCAACGCTGACAGGGCGCAAGCTAATCACACAGGATGACGTGTGGGGTTTGCACCGTCTCTATGGTATGTTCACAATCCTTGTTTCTTACTTTACTATACAAATGGGCTTTGACAATTGTAAATCAAAATGACGACGTTGTCAGTCATTCAGGAAGCAAAGGCGAATGGACTTATTTGGCCTTGAAGACCTTTGGCATTCATCCAAAAGGTGAACCACTGAAGCCTGAATGAATGGAAGACTTTGTCAAGACCAAAACAGCAAAACCAGTCCTCCTGCCTGGGATCAGACTGATTAGGCCTGAAAGTCAAGCCTAACAGACATGCGTTGTCTGGAACATAAATGAGCACGGAGCATTGCTCATTTTATCATAGTGAAAGACAACTGATGCAGCATCGGAGAAGCCTTGCATTTTTTAATCCAGTTTGACAACGTCTACAACAGGTTCCGTGACGTTGTTGGTACACGTTAAACATGCCAAAGTGAAAGAGAGGATGTGTTACACCACCTTCATGACACATGCACATGCCGTGAAAGTCAGAAAAGATGACAAGCTATGGTTGGTGGAGGTCCATCATGTAGTGTGCCACGTCAGGGCAAGAATTTAAGACAGCTTAATCTGACTAGTGACCATCTCGAAAAGCAAACATATTGTGCAGTCTGATCCTGGCATTAGAAGAATTACATCTAGAGACCAGTAGTAGAAAACCCATGACTACGATGACTACAGCGTTTGTCTATATCCTATATGACACTGAAAGCCAACGTCGCATTAATGAATATTCTATAAATTACTCATGAGTCATCATTAGCGTGCATTAGGGTGAGTCATTTTCATTGGAAGAAAAACTGGATTGGGGATCCAATTTTTTGCTGCTGACTGAGAGCTGTTGTCTGATCCTCCTCAACCTCCTACTCACTCCATCTCCCCCTCTCCTCCAGGATGTTTGGACCGGTTATTTATCTGTCCGGCCTGGGCTCGGAAAGGCTATTGCGACAGCAAGCGCAAGCTGATGCAGAAGCACTGCCCTTCCAGCTGTGATTTCTGTTACGGTAAGATGCAGTAGCAGCAGTCCGGGTACGGTAGGTTGGGGTGGGGGGTGGGGGTGCGAGGAGCCGCTGTGAACCATTTGCCAATGAAGCAACAAGAGCCAACAGGTCCCTCCATGCAGAGCTGTGATGTGGTTTTAAAGAATCTGATTTGAAGGGACAGTTCACTTGCCACTGGAGGAGTTTGTGTTTAGTTCTGGATAATACCAGTTTCCCTAGGAAGGCAATGTGTGTTTTAGCCAAGAGCACTGACAGGTACCTGTTGATGGCTGGCTCTGCACCAAGTATTGATGACACATCAGCAATCTGACAGCCTAAGCCTTAGGGTTATTGTGGGACACACTGGTGCTGAGGTCTCATGTTGCACAACAGGAAATTTTTCCTCTTAACCATCACAGCCCATAGATTGTTGTGGCTTTCTGAGGTTTTTGTCAGCAACAAGGGACAGTGTGGAGAGAGGCAAGAGGATACGATTTCTGGCTCGCAGTAATCTGTTCCTCATTGTTGATTGGGAGACGTTGTACGGCTGTGGAAAATTCCTGAGTGACTCCAAACCGCTGGAATTTCAGACTGTGGCTTGAGGGTTAGACACAGAAGGTCAATTTGGATTTTTGCGGCATTAACGAGAGCGACTGTTTTTTAAGCAGACTTTAAGTTGATCACAAGGCGGCCTGTTGTGTTTGTCAGAAAACAGATGGGAGAGATTATATTGATAAGACAGCCACGGCGCCAGCAGGTCAGGGGTTGTGAAGTGTCTGGCATGATAAGGTTTGTAACAGATATTTTGATTTTTGGCGAGGTAAGGTTAAGGGAGCAAGTTGTGATATCTCCGTTCTCCATGAAATACACTGAGGTACAGGAAAATCTCTTTTTTCTAGCACATTGCTCTCAGATGATTGTTATATGGTTGGGATCCTTGTAAGATATTTACACATTTTATTTTGGAGCATCACTATGCCCCTTGAATCCTCTTCAGAATTCCCCTTCCCCACTATGGCTCCCACCCCGACACCCCGAGGACCAAGCACAAGCTGGTCGTCGAGGGAAAGACGCTCACTTTTCGCTGTGGGAAGAAAATAGCATCGAAGAAAGGCAAAGTATAGTGAGTATCTCTAATCTGTTATCAGTCCACCTTACCGCAGCGATGATGCAGTATGATTTCATGGACGCACTAACGTAAGACTCCTGTTTTAGCTGGTACAAGGACGGGGAGCTGCTGGAGTTCTCTCACCCGGACTACATCTCCTTGAAAGATGACCACATAACCATAGTGGCCAATGCCATCAACGAAGGCACATACACCTGCATTGTGAAGAAAAAAGACAAAATTCTCACAAACTACTCGTGGAGAGTTCGTGTGCGCTACTGAAGGCCATTCCAGCTCCTCAGCACACTGAACAAAACGCATTCACACACACGGTCACAAGGAGACCTCATTCACTAGGGCACATATTTGTTTTAACTATCTTACTTATGTCGGTCATCAACTGTCACGTGTTTTAATAATAAATAATGAATGTTCCATGACAAGTACACTCTTTCTTAAACTACTACCTGACTGTGAAAAGCTGTTCATGACAGATGTTGTGGTTTGCATTTTATTTGGTGATGAAAGATCCTTGCAGCCCTCGTCAGCTGTTTGAGACCAAAACGTCTACTCTGAATTCATCAAGCCCGGAATGCTTCAAAGCTCTTGCTGCTAAAGCAGTAATGGGGTCCAAGGCCACACAGGGTTTCTTGGGGTGTCTCCAGCAAAATGGGAACTAATTAGAGTCACAGTGGTTTAATTCAAAAGATATTAAGCAAGTTAGGGAACGTATAGGAGTATCTTCTCATATACGGTGAACATAAAATTTTCCACTATAGGTCCCTGGGGGAAAGTTTCATCCAAAAATATCCATGTGTTTCTTTTTACTGGCCTGAAAAAGTTACAGAAGCCCTTGCTTAGCATGCCATCTCAATAATTTACGCACTGACCAAACTAAGATACTAAAGCCAGAATAAGCAGTGTTGTCTACAGCCCTTGGAATTATTTGGACCTTAAACCGCATATGGAACACCTCAGACGTCTAGCTTACTTTACTAGCCTCAGTGAAGCCAGCAGTCTGCCTCCAGAGACTGAGCAGTCAGTTCCACTAGCAGCTCTTCTTCCAAGCTTATTCAACACATCAGGTGTAATAATCTGCAGAAGGGCTCCGGTGGGGGCAGGGGATAGATAAAACTGATTAATGAACATTTCCATTTAGTGCTGGCTCTAGACGTCCCAAGATGTGTAAAATTTTCTGCGGCCATTCCAGTGAAAGCAGCAAGCGGTCTTGCAGGGAATGAAACTGTTCTGTTTATTTTTCTTCGGCTCGAAATCAAAGAATTTATTGGTTTAAATTTGAGGTCGCACAGCCATTTAAAAACAAAGGCAGAGCAAAGTCTGGCCCTCTTTTCCCCTGAAAGAACAAAGTACTGAGACAAAGTGTGCAGTGCAAAGAATGACATCACTTTTGGACAACGACTACCAAGTTGGGTTCAAGGCTGGATTTTTTTTTTGTTGGGGCTAGACTTCCCTCCTTTTTTTTCTCCTCTGGCAGTGTGCTGTTGTGTTTGCATAACTTGGATGGAGTTTATAAATATAGGGAAAACGTCAGACAAAACAAAGTTTCAAACTTTATTTCTAGCAAAAACATCGTCCCCCTGTCGTCAGGTGACCTGACAGTCCTCAATTTCTAACATAATGCTGGATGGAAAACACAGCCAATGCTGCATCATTCTACAGTAGCTCAGGCAGCCAAGAAATACCACCCATTTATAAAATCTGGTCCTCTCTCATGAAGTATACAAGGGAGAATAAAACAAAAGTCAAACATGACAGCTAAACTTCTAACAGATGTATAGTTGTGTCTCCCCTTTAAGAGCTAAAATGGCCACATTGAGTTGGTGAAATGGCTTTGAAAACAAGAGACAAAGCGGAAAAAGTCGACGCAGAGTTTTCTGGAAATTCAACATGTTTGAGCCACCAGTCTTTGCTGTGAGACAGTCCTGACTATTTGGTAACAGTTGTAATTGATCAGATATTGATCTGGTTTACAGATGTAAACCAGTGACACTGTGCAGTTTCAAAACAACGACCCAGAACATCCCAGAACTCTGCTCCCTCTTTCTCAGCGAGACTACCAGATGTCCTGCAGTTTTGGGTTCAGAACTTGAGGCTAAATCCTGGACCGACTGCAGACACTCCCTGGTTGCTGGTTGTCAGGTGGAAGCCTGTGTCTTTTAGGTCATCATCGCCCTGGAGAGAATATGGAAACAAAGTTAACTCTTGGTTAATGGTCGAAGTCAGTTTCGTCACTCTTTTGATATCATGCAGTTTAATTTCTTACACATTTATTATAGAACTAATTAGGGATGGGGATCAAGACCCGGTTCCAAAATTCTCAAAACCCAAAACTCAGTAAGGTTCGTGCTTATCGATACTGCTATTGAGACTTGCGGGTCCTATGACGTAACATTATGTCTCGAGCGTCGATTCGGTTTTATTTTGCAATGGATAAGAAAATCATCAGTCTCTGCCTGCTCTCTGTGGGCTCCTACACACACACACACACACACACACACACACACACACACACGCTCAGTGGCGGCGGCAGCAGAGCGAGGAGTGGCCCCGTCACAGGGTTAAGTTAGCTCCAAACTACTGTAACGTTAGTTGATGACAACTTCGCTCGTTACTTTAAGTACATGCAATAAAACCTTCGCAAGTAAAAAGACAATACTTTATCAATCCACCTGTCTGTAAGGTAACGTTAAACATGTAGAAATGGTTAATTTAATCATCTCTGTCCTCAGTATCTCATCCTGTATGTTTTATACAAGCACAGCTAACGCTAGCTTGGCATTAGCCAAATGTTAAAAACAAGACTGTAAATAGAAAGCATCTGTCTGGAGCAAAGACTGGACTGTAGTCTTAAAAACTCAGCTGCTGGCTGAGACAAACCAGCCGCTCCTCCTTCTACCTGGTAACGTTACCTGCAGCCAGGAGAGAGGAGGAGGGACTGATACAGACTGATGGTATTCTTTCTAAACGTCACTCACTACTTGTGGTGTCAGATAAAGTTACTGAGTTACTTTGCTATTGTAAACATTAATGTTGCTGCTCTAGAAACAACATTTAGCTGGATTTAAAATATTAAATTAAAAACAAACAGGCAGTTAATATGTACACTTCAATATATGTTTATTTATCGTAAGTGATATGTCATCTCAATATATAACGTTATCGCACATTGAATATTTTCCTCATACCGTGCAGGCCTACCTCATGCCGTTGGGTCTGGTTTTACCAAATAACCATCACTAAATAATAGTAAAGTATCGATAAAGAAACGGATCGTTAAGCAGTCTCAATAAGGGTATCAATATCAATAAAAATGAACGATCTCCATCCCTAGAACTAATCAATACTACACTGGTTGCCTTAGAAAACCCAAGAATGCATGGACATGTTCATCAATAATATCATAGTTTGTATTATTTCCCAGGGTTTCAGAGAAGTTTTATGTCCCGTGATTAGTCTGTTTCACATGCTTTTCTGCCTTGACGAGATAAACAACCAATGCCATTGGCATGAAATAGTCTAATTTGTTGGTAACACAGCAAATATCAACACTAACGTTCATTGAAAAATATCAGTATCAGCCTTAAGCTTCTGGGTGGGTGGGACCACTGCTGAAGACATTAGGGACTAAAGGGTGCTCATCATGGAAAACACGAGGAGGAAATGCCCGGACACAAAGCAGAAGCCTGTAGGTCTGTAATCTATTTAACACAGACGGCGTTCAGAAAGCCTGGTAGCTGTATGTAATGGAGAAATTGGAGCCTAATGTCCTTACCAGGTGACTGTAGCCCAGGCCTCCCTCGGGTGGACGAGGACTGGTGCCTCTCTTCACCCTCTGTTGCTCACTCTTGGCCGGCCAGGTGGGAAACATGGCTGGGTCAATGGGCAACGGTGTCTCACGGAAGTACTCGTGCTTGAGCCCTTCGTCTGATAAAATCCTCTTACTGGGGCAGTAGGTGAGGAATCTGGAAAACAGTTGATGATCGGTGTTCATATGGAGATGGTAGTACATGTTTCAATAAAGAAGCACAACAGGCAGCTCAGGTTGTTTGGACTTTGATTCTTTATACAAAAACCTCTGTGTGTAGAGTAATGGTTAAAAATTGTAAAACTTAATTCTGACTTTATTTTGGTAAAGATGTAACCTGGCTCCAGACCCCTGAACGACTGCTCTCATCTCTGATTTTTCCAGCAACTGAAACAGGTCTGGTGTTTTGCTCAAAGACTCCAGTTGGAAAACAAATCAAGGGGTTTGTAGGAGGGATTAACCCTGGGGACGTCATCTTTCTGTGCCAGTGCCAGAGAAATAGTGACAAGAAAATTGCCAAGCGAGGGTGAAACTGACAGCTCAAAATGTTGTTAGCTGCCACTAGCAGCCAATACCACTACCTGCTTCTGTAACGAAATAAAAATATGTTGACAAGATATGATTCTACTCTCCTCCCCAATGGGTCTGAGGTGAACATTTGAAAGCTGCATATGAACCAGCTGTGCTATGTATAGAAATCTCCAATAAGTTGAGAAAAATCCAGTTTAAAATATAGGCCACTATATGGTGTCACTTGAAAATCTGCTGTATTCATTAAACTACACGCAGACAGACAATCTGGCCACAAGATGCAGCTCTGACATGAGAGGCCAGTGGGTTTGTGCATGGAGTCCTAATTGTATATGACAGGATCAACACAGCATAATGTGGAGCTGCTTAATTGTCATAATTAGCCTTTAACAGGGTCTGATTTCGAGTGTGAGCGGGGAAAGTGAGGTAAATGATTAACACCAGGACAGATTTTAGTAAACAAATCGTCTCTTCTTTTATTTGGAAGGAATCCCTAAGAAGGGCTACTGACTGGGACTAGAATGATTCCAACTTTAAGACACACGGGGCCAAAACTGGCATTGAAAAGGGCAATCCTGGTGTCCAAATGACTGGAGTTTTTTGGGAATTCCAAGAATGTATACTCTTCCTGGACCTGTGAACTTATTCCTCTGCACAACCCAAGAGCCCGGCTGGTTTTCATTCCAGCCATACAGACCTGTTTATACCGGAGATGATGGAACTAATTACTAAGACTACATCCACACTACTACTCTTTCATTTTAAAATGCAGCCAAGTTTACACATGCCATGCAGACTAAAACAGTGAATCCAACAGCCAAAAACAGAAGTTTGAAAATGCTGCTCACTCGGTTTTCATTTTTATACAGGCGGACAGGCGAAAACAGAGGGACTTTAAAAACGATGACGCAGACACTCACATTTGGCTTCCTGATTGGGTCTTATTAGTCACGCAAAGCAAAAACACGATGCCACTAACAGTGTTTTTGTATTTTTATTTAAATATTTTGTACTGTGCAATAACACTTGTACTGTGAATGTCACTGTATTTGCTTTGTAACGACTCCCAATCTGTTATCCGCCGCCACAGTCACGCACTTCTCGTTGTACCTCGTTGCCGGTCCACGCAAAGAAAGGATTGAAGTTCAAATCTCTTATCTGGTTCACCTTATTATTGCACCTACCACAGTTTGAAGGGGTAAATAAATAAATTCCAAACAGCTATGTCAAGTCTACCTGCTAAACTACACCTCTAAACTTCACCGCTCTGTCTGAAGCTTTTCAAACATTACTTCTCTACGTTTTGACCTCCTGCGGTCTGAATCTGTCCCTGGGTTAACGCCTCTCCAGTCTTTTGACAGCTGGAAGTTTTCAGAGATGCTGGACAGGTGCCAAACTTCCACTGAACCGTGATCCCTCCAGCAGCACAGTGGACATGCTGTTACCATTCTCTGCAGCTGTGAGGTAACTGAGAGGTATGGTTTTGTCATTTACAGGTGTACGCAAAAGCGTGTGGGTGGTTAAGGATCTGAGAGGAGAGCTGGAAAGCTTGTCTCTGCTCTTTGCAGCTGCTAAACAACACTGATCTTCAGAATGTGCAAGAAAGAATTATGATCCCATTACTCTCTGTGTGAGAATTAGTTTCCGTATTAAATGTGTGTTTTCTAAAACACTTTCCTGTAGTGTGGAGCGTCACCATGGTGAGTGTGTGTGTGTGAAACGGAACAAGGGGATGGAATGGGACTGCTGCTGAGGCATGTTGATAAATTACCAGTCCGCTACTGTTGTCATGTTTTAAGTCAGTTTGCCAGTAATACACTGACTGAATAAAGAGCTGGAAAGAGTAACAGAATTTGACAGGGTAGCAATGCATTCATCCAAGTAAGGCAATTTCCATTGTAGGAGTCATGCTGAGTGTGATATTAGTGGTCGACATTTGCCTTTCATTGATATTGGTCTGTGTTCTATCAGGGTTGGATGGAAAATAATACAATGCCTACAAACTATGTTGACTAACAGTAATACTATCAAAACAGATTACTTCAAGCTGGTGTTTTAAAACTTTCCTTACTAATGTACTGGAACCAGTGCGCACATGCCTTAATAGCTGTAGTGGTTTGTCACATGCACACACTGCCAAAAAATCAGTTGGAATCCCAATGTCAGGCTGACTGTAGTGCAGTAAAAACACACTGCAGTGTGTGTGAGACGTAATGATGTGCCTTGTGTGTGAAATAAGACAGCCTTGAAGAATCCTACTTGTTCATGAGGTCAAAGCCTTGGTCTGAGAGCAGCGCTCCAAAGCGCTTTCGCAGGTTGTTGTAGGGATACTCTGTGAAAGTCATCTTCTTCACAGCGGGCAGCTCGTTGTAGCCAGGCCAGATCTTCTCGCTGGGTGACCCCAGATCCTACAGACAACACACACAAGTCAGCAGACATCACAGTGTTAGTGAAGAAGAGATGGATATGAGATATTCAGAAGTATTTATTAACCACAGACATGTGGCAATAACCCAGTCTTAAGCACATTTCAATAATCCATCACTGGCAAAAACTGTAGGATGACTTTGGGAGGCCTAAAAGACATCAGTCCATACGGCTGTCATGCAGATCATCTATCAGCAAGTTGTTTTTTTCTGCACACAGATTAGCTCTGCTGTGGTCCTGGCAGGCCGACTACAGCCAACAAGTGATGGTCTCCTCCCCTTGGCTGTGTCCTCAGCAGATGAACTTATGTCTGTTGTAGACAGAGACTTCTGCAGCTTCTACCTGAATCTCTGTGATTTGGAGTTTAGTGTCACTCCTGCTTTTCTGTTTGTACTTTCACATATGGAAAAACTCTATATGGTGAGCTTCTTAGTTTCATAATAACTTCATGAGCTAGGTTAACGTCTACCAACAGCTCCACCATGTGGTGCACTACAGGGCTCCGTGCTGACATACTCTGGACAGAAAGCACAATCAGAAGCTTTACAGGCTGTAAACAGAAGAGCTTTACCCTTTATGGTGAAGGTTTACTAAATTTTATAAGAGCAAATGAGGGCATTTACCTTGAAAATCTTGTTAATTTGGTCAATTTCAGATTTTCCAGGGAAAAGAGGTTTCTGGGTGAGCAGCTCGCCAAATATGCAGCCCACTGACCACATGTCCACAGCTGTGGAGTACTCCTGCGGAGAGAAGAACAAACATAGTGGCAGTCCACAGAAACATAAAGTAGACAGTCTGCCTGGCACGCTTCTACGTTGGACTCTGTCTTGTGTGTGAAAGTGGATGTGCTCTGATAGGCTACTGGAACACTGCCGTCTGGCTGTGTAAATCATATGCTGTAAAACTCAAAACAGTTTTTCAGTGGTATTTGGAATCATCCTTCACAGATGTTGTCTTCTCTTAGAAATATGTCTTTGAGTAAACTAAATCAATCAAGATGATGTAACCACCTCTATGAAAAGTACATGGTCATAATATTTGTATTTTTCGGTATTGCATAAGTAATAAATTAAAATGGTTCCTGTGAAGTGTGAAGTAGAGTGAATTTGCATTCCCACCTTGGCTCCAAGCAGCAGCTCTGGTGATCGGTACCACAGGGTCACCACTACAGGAGTGTAGGGCTTCAGGGGGGAACCATACTCCCGGGCCAGACCAAAGTCGCCAATCTACAGTACAAGGCAATTGGCTCACATTAATACCACTAAATTTCATTTTGGGTAAAAGCACAATGTCTTAGCATTAATAACATTCTTTCATTCTCCTTTTATAAGAGATCAAATGACCCTATAGTCTGGTGTGGCAGGGTCCAATCGGATTTGAAGAAGCACATGATGCAGTGTGATTAATACCTACTACCCCGGTGCTCTTAAGGTTTCACACCTTTTCAATATACAAGTGACATACTCCTGATACTCTTACTGAAAAATCCATCTTGAGACACTCGTGCGCCTTTTACACCAAAAGTAAAGATTATGTTTGCTACTTTGTCTTACAGTCATGGCTCTACAATGATGCTTATACTAATATGATTGCAACTCATGCTGGACTTGCTGGTATGATCACTATAGCAGATATAAGTAGATACCAATACAGTAACACCATCAAGATCTCAAACTCAAATAGTCAGATTGCCAACCCCTAAGACAACAGGCACCGCTGTTATACATTAATCTGTGATGTTTATTGCATTCCACCATTTAGTTCAATTAGTGATTTCCTACATTTCCCAGAAAGCCATTCATCAACTCCCTGAGGTATGATTATATCTAGCAGGCCAACTAGTCCCTAACACTAATATGAAATTCACCACTTAAACCTATTTCATTCTTTTAATAGGCATAATTCTATTCAATCAGATTACAGGTGGACTCCATGGGCTTCCCTCACAGACCACAAAGAGTAGCCAAGGTAACAACTAACTAGTCCCTTTAGTTCCCAGGGACTGAGTGAGAACCACAGATCTAGCATACCTTGAGGATGCCCTTGTGGCTCAGCAGCAGATTGGATGTCTTCAGATCACGATGGAGAATCCAGTTATCATGGAGATGTCGAACACCTCGAAGCAGCTGAATCATCAGAGTCTTTACTTCACCTGAAAGAGAAACGTCATGCTTTTAAGGAGCTGTTTTGAGGCGAAGGAGAGACATCTAATGCATAAACAAAGACATTTATTTTTTTTTGGTTTTTACACACACACACACACACACACACACACACACACACACACACACGGGCCAGAGCTCAACAATGTCTTAAATTACCTGGCAGAAAGGGCTGTTTCATGGTTTCCATCAGACTCTTCAGGTCATGTTCTACATAGTTCATCACGATGTAGATCTTGTCCATATTGCTTCCAACAACTATTTCCTAATACACAGGAGGGGGAGCACGGGTTAGATTAATCTAGCACTTTAGGATACACATTAGCCAATATCTAAATAAGTATTTTTGAAGTTCTCTTACCCTTACTGTTACGATGTTTTGGTGCTGAGCTTTCAGGATTGTATTGATTTCTCTTAAAGAGGTAATGGGGAAGCCCTCCTTCTCCTTCTCCATCTTCAGCCTTTTCAAGGCCACAATTTCATCTGCAAACACGAGACCGTATTCATTGTTTTACAAATAAGCACTTCCGAGAACCCCAAAAGCAAACGGACCTACATGTTTATTTCCATACCCGTCTTTTGTCCTTGGCTCTGTACACCACACCGTAGGTTCCCTCCTCTATTCGGTTCAGACACTGGAATTCCTCAACACTGCGACAACCCTGAAAAACAACACACAATCTAATTGAAGACCTCAACATATTGCTAACTTACATTACATGACTACATATACATATATATATATATATAGACGCTTTCATCGGACCACGTTGCCAAGGTGATGCACCCGGCCCAAAGATAACTTCTGTTCTGTTTGTTTATTACTGGGAGCCTTTCCAAAACTAGACCCTCGCCACTTCCACTCCGACACAAAGTGAAATCTGCTCGGAGTCACCCTCACAACCAAATCAAACTCCCTAAAGGGGTATTTGATCCAGCTAACCCACGTAGGGTAAAAATACAGTGGCCAGCTTTCGGACGAACTCCCCTCTCTCCCCAGCGTAAATAGGATCTGATGTTACTGCTGCACTCACTGCTATAATGTGTATCAAATAAACAACAGTTGTATTGTTTTTTTTAAAAACACAATATAACCTCTGAGCTACGTTGTTAACCTGTGAATGGTGATATAAAATGTTAGTGTAGTTTCTGAATTTAAATATCCTACGTGTTAACTGGCGAAGCCACACGGAACTCACATTGACAGAAAGGTCCCCCATCGTGCAGCAAAGGGTGTTACATACCTTCAACAAGCCAGCATCGGTGTTTACTCAGCATTTGAGGGTTTAACAACCCACTACCACTCCGCCGTCATTGCTTTCGGATTCATGAACACGCAAACGGATTGGAAGTAAGTAGGGAGAGGGAGCAAGCAGTTTTGGAAAGGCCCATACTAGCTAATGGTATTTACTTGTTATGGATTGTTTGAGGAAGTCTGCCGGAAGTTAGGTTTGGGCCAGAGTAATGCACATGCGCAGTACTGTTTGTTTATGCTGTTACCGCTGAAAGCGTCTATATTAATAATTTGTGGCTTAGCTGGGTGAACACTTGTGTAAACATGTTGGTACGGACCTGTAAAGCAGGCAGATATTTGGGCAGCTCCTTCTTCAGCTCCACAGGTGAAATTGGGGGAGATTCTGGGATGTAGTTCTCTTCGGGGGTGGGGGAGCGAGAATGAGTCTGAGAGTGAGGCGTGGGGTCACCCTCTTCTGCGTCATCTTCCTCCTCCTCCTCTTCCTCCATGTCCTCGCCGCTCTCCTCGGAGTCATGATCGAAGCGGGACTCTGGCACTATAAGAGTGAAGTCACTGGTAAGTGCATTTAAGCTGCTTAGATATGGAGAGAAAACTCCAGCAACACCGAAGTGCCACATGTTTTGGATTGTGGCCTGCATCACGGTCATGTTTGAATTTAGTTATGGGCCGGTCACTGTTATGATGTTAATGGTGCCATCTGTTGGATTTCAGTTTCACTGCATTTTATGGTCTTTATTCATAGTTTTCAGTCATGTGACATACGCGGTGACCTGGAGGGCAAAAAAACAGACCAACATAGTGGCTTCAATTTTATTTGGATCACCTCTCAACTTAGCAAAAATAAAGATATGAACACAAACTGGAGGAAGAGTCCAGTACCTTGGGGTCTTGTTCACGAATCAGGGGAGACTGGAGCAGGAGATTGGCCGGAGAATCGGTGCAGTGGGGGTGGTACTGCACTCGCTTTACCGCACCGTTGTGATGAAAAGAGAGCTGAGCCGTAAGGCAAAGCTCTTCATCTACCGGTCAATTTTCGTTCCTACCCTCACCTATGGTCATGAAGGCTGGGTCATGACCGAAAGAACGAGATCGCGGGTACAAGCAGCCTAAATGGGTTTCCTCAGGCAGATGGCTGGTGTCTCCCTTAGAGAGAGGGTGAGAAGCTCGGCCATCCACGAGGAGCTCAGAGTAGAGCCGCTGCTGCTTTGCGTCGAAAGGAGCCAGCTGAGGTGGTTTGGGCATCTCCCTAGGGAGGCGTTCCAGGCACGTCTGGGAGGAGGCCTCGGGGAAGACCCAGGACTAAGTGGAGAGATTATATGTCCACACTGGCCTGGGAACGCCTCTGGATCCCCCAGTCAGAGCTGGTTAATGTGGCTCAAGAAAGACCCCGTGACCCGACCCCGGATAAGCGGATGAAGATGAATGGATGGGACACAAACTGCAAGTGTTGGGCATATCCGATCCGTGTAACGTTACAGCTTCCGCTGCCGCATTTCTACCGTTAAAAACCGCCCAGTCCCTGCCACCGCTCGACTGCGGTAATGTTTACGTTTACCTTCTTGGGAATCCCTCACCTAACACAGCCCAGGCTTCTCTCCTCCTCGATTAGTGGATAAGAAAACACAACAACCATCCAGCATTTTGGCAACACAAAAGTAACAAACTCAAAATAACAGTTTATCACTTGCTTACTGGTTGGCAGACAGCGGAAAATAACGTCTTTTTTGCCCTCCGAGGTAGCGTTTTCCTTGGAATGTGACCTCACGTGAAAACTATGAATTAGCAGACAGTTTGCCCAGTTGTCATGGACATGGGTCAGTTGATGATAAGTGGTCAGAGAAGAACCTCAAAACTTTTGGTCAAACTATTTTTTCCAAGAATGAACAATAAAAGTGACGTCATCAGGGTTATCTCAAGCATGAGACATATTTAACAGAAAGCTGCATTACAAACTATAGGTGTGGGACTTTCTTTAAGAGCATGGAGTTTCTAATGAAAGATACTGGTGAGTTGCATTATGGGAACCGTAGAATCGAGTGATGTTTTGATTTGACCACTTTTTTTGTTCAGCAGACAAAGCCAAGCTTTTACTGATCCCAAATGTGATTTATGCATTCTCCATATTAGCCACACAACTCTTCTATTAAAAGTGATATTTGAATGAAAATGCCTTTGGATGACTTTCACAGATGACATGTTGACCCACCTGCAGGTATGTGATTTCCATTTTCCCTCTCCTCTTCAAAGTCTTCCACTGACTGCTCGTCCTCACTCACGTCCTCTGAAAGGGAGGAAGCCACTGAGTTGAACCCGTCATGCTGTGAATCTGGACTTGACGCGGCGACATGAGTCACGGTTGTGGAGCGGTCTTTAACACTTTTACCTGCACTCTGCTCAGACCTTCCTGAGCCGGAAACAGACTCCTCCTCTTCTTCTTCACCCTCGCTCTGGCTGCTGGACTCCTCCTCATCGTCATCCTCCTCCTCTTCATCAGAGCCGGATCCTGATGCTAGACAAGGAGAATAAGATAAAAGATCAATAAAAATAAACAAATCTGAAGCAATTCAACTGCAATACTGTAACCACCATGCCATCTCGCAGTTGTTGTTTCCTTGGTTATGTCTTGACACCAGCCTAATTTACTTATCCCATCTTGTAAGGTTTAAAGATATAACTAACATGAGTGAGTGATTATTCTTTCCCATCTCCCTGATTATCATCTGAGTGAAAGTGTTCTACCAAAGAAGTCAGGCCTCCTGAGATTGTTATTTGTTTATATGTTTGTATTGTTACATATTTTTAGATATTGAGAAATTGGACAACCTTTGCATGTGGTATGCCTTTGTTGTATAATGGCCACATATGCTGGTTAGTGTAGTTTAAGTCATCCATTACCCAGGGAGGATTCTGCTGTGCTGGTCTTCCTTTCACTGTCACTGATGTCCTGGAGGTCTGCGAGGGGGTCTTTGCCCTCTGGCTTCTCCTCCTTCAATGCTGCAAACAAAATGCGGTGTGAGCTATGCTGAATCCTATATGGTGATCTTGGGGAAACTGAGTCTTTGCACAGTATACATTACACGGTAATACAATAAAAATCAAATAAGGAGATTTTTTTTGGAGACTGAACTACAAATGGAAACTCACTTGCACTTTTCCGGGGTTCGCTGGGTTCGGATCTGTCCCGTGGAACGCGGGTGGGGCTTCTGCTGCGGTGACTTTGTTGTGGCCTATCATCATATTCGTCAGGTAGCATCCGATGGTGAGGTGGCACTATGGACATGAAAGTCTCTTAAAAACCACCACTGCAGATTTAGCATCACAGTTCACACGGTTTTAAATATACATCTGGATGCTTGGTAATAGGACAGTGAACCTGGGTGCTTTGAAATTGTGTTTCAAGAAATTGCTGGAATCATTTTTGTTTAGCCTAGCTTAGCATAAGAATTTTTAGATGCATCGCGATGCGGACGATTCTGAAACGATTAACAAGTGTCAGTAATCGATTATCTAGAGGTTAACTGATAACGTAATGCTGACGGAACTTCAAAATGCGGCTCCGGACCGTCTGTGATGTGCAAACAACTGAGACGTGTGGTTCTCCCTGTTCAGCACAGACAGGCAGTTAATTAAATTGATTGAATGACTACTGCTACTAAACTTTCACATGATCAATAACATCAATGCGCACTGTGCAGCTCATTCTTCAAAAGACAGCTACGTGAAAGGCGGCAGTAGGTGACAGTGAAAGCAGCGGAGCAGAGGAAAACATGAGCGCTAGGTTTCAGTCTGGCTGTACATGTACAGTGTAGCTCACAGTGTGTCCATTAATTAAAGTCAGTCTGGACTGCGGTCTGGAAGCTGAGCGACACGTTGTTTGGCTGCTAGTGCAAGTTCGTTTGTTGTCATTCATCCACATATCGAGTACACAAATGAACAAATGCCGTTTCTGCTCAATACAAGATTACAATAACCAACTTACAAGACAAGAGACAAACATGTAACTACGCTAGAAGAGACAACAAAAGGAGTGGAGTGAACGTGGTTTGGCTGGAGCATTGTAAAGTGTGTAGTTCAACCCCATCTGACTCTGACTCTATACTAATAACAGCAGCATCAGAAATAAAACTAGCTTGCTGTAATAATGCTACGCAGTGTTACGTTAATATGAAATAACATTAAATATCTGCATTTCATTTCTACCTACTTGTTTGGATTGTTACAAATACTTTGCTTTAAAAGTATTAAGTAGTCAAACAGTGAGAAAAATACATCTTTATCCAATTTGTTTTACAATTGCATCATAGAACTCAATCGTAATGAGGTGCTAGAAATTCCCACCCTTTAGGGGATACATCAAAATCAAATCCAATCGTTGACCTGATAATCAGAATAGAATCGAATCGTGAGACCAGTGAAGATGCACAACCCTACTAAGGACTGAAGGAACACGGAACAGCCAGCCTGGCTCTTTCTTAAGTAAAAAAAAAAAGAAGCCTGTTGTACAGCAGACGTTTGGGTTCATTTACTGACCTTCTCGTCGAGCACCTCGCTCTTTGCGTCGCTCCTCAGCCCTCCTCTCCCGATCCTTCAGCTCCCGTTGCTCTTTCTGCTGTTCGCGCAGCTTTCGGTCCCGTTCACGCTGGCGTTCCAGCTGTTCCAGCCGGTCCCTGTGGTCCAAAAAAAACCCAGGAGAATCCAATCGAGGTCTGTCCAGACAACCAAAAATCCAATCTCGTCATTGTTTGCTTATTTTTAGTTTGTGTTGTTAAAGCTGGTCTAACTCAAACATACATCAGTTCATTGCTCAGCTGTATTCAGTAATACCATTTAACCCGACCCACATGGGTTTGTTGTTGGATGTTCATTTGAGTCTGCGTTGTTATGTGGGCTTGATTTAATTGCTCGTAATAGAAAACACACCCACAATATTGCCATCTGGACTTGAGTGAGGAAAGTCCAAAGAAACTACGATGATTTTTTAAAATTTATGTTTTGGGTAACTTCAGATGCTTTGTACAGTACAACACATGTACACAATACAAAAAAAAAAAAAAAAAAAGAAGAGACATTTGCTCAACACTTTAGAACGGGACATACAGGATACACTCAAACAAAACAGGTTCATTTACACTATATACCAATTAAAGACATACTTCTATGCCTTAATTAATTGAAGATAATATTAGGTGCCTTTCCGAGGTCGGTGCTCACCTCTCTCTGCGTGAATGTGCTCTGGCCTGTTCCCTTCGTTTCTGCCTCTCCCAGTCTCGCCGGGCTTTGTCTTCTTCCCACTGACGCTTCCTGCGATCGTTCTCTCGCTCTTTCTCTTTGTCTTTGGGTCGTGCATGTTTCACTCCTGTGAAAGTAAACACCATGAGTGGACTCAGATCTGAAACCACAGTTCCAAACATGCTGTATTCTGCTGTAAATCACGTCTTTGTTTCTGTAATTAAGCAGCACTTCCAAACCTCCTTCAGCAGAGTGACTGCGATGTCGTCTCTTGTCTTTTCTCTTCTCCTCCTTTCTGTGGTGAGATTTGTCTTTTCTTGCTATTTGCTGTGGAGGCTTGATTGCCAGAGAGTCATCTTCCTCTCCCCTGCATTAATGTAAAGAAAACACTGTGAGACTATAAAGAGGCAGCGACATTGTGTTGCATATCATTTTTAAACCATGACATATATACTTTAAGTTAAACTATTGCATGCATACTTACCTCAACCATAAAATACACTTTCCTCAATTGGCAGTCAACTTAAATATTAACTAATGTTTGTTTCCTACATTATCAAGTACCTGTCCTCTGTTGAGTCATCCCGTGTGTATGGGGAATTACGAATTGTTATTTCCATCTTTTGATCCCGTAGTTCTCCTTCCTCCGGAGTGTCTCGTTTGGCTTCCCGATCATCCGCCTGTGGAACAAGGCCCTGTGTAAACTGTGCAACACAAGTAGAGCAGCATTTGTGAGATAAATCATGAAAATATTTTTGGATTAAGAAAGTTAATACAAGACCCAGCACATTTGGAATTTAGCTACCGCTGTCCAATTGTAACAAATTTCCTGCCAAAAAAATGTTTGTAGATGATACAATTACAAGATTACTAAGAATTAAAAAAAGCCTATATTTATCATACAATATGGTATATTTTAAACATTTTAAATTATTCTTTTTTGTTTTGTTATTAACACAGTATCAACATGTAGGTGTCTTACATTAGCTTTAAAATACATTACATTTTTCTGGCGCTTGGGATCTGTTCTCTCTTCTAATTCTCTTCTGCGTTTTTTCTCAAGTAGGATTTCGTCAAGAGTTTTTACTTTCCAGGTCTCCTTTTCGTCCCCCATCAGCGTCCACTCTCCACCGCCTGTTCCACACACACACACACACACGGGTTCATCACATGTCATTTCTACTCAGCTTATTTGAATCACAAAAAGTTAGGCGTATGAAGAACAAAATAATACAGTTATAATACAAACCAATACAGTTATAATAGATACATGACAGAGAAGACTGCCTGTTATAGGTCACTGTTTCTTCCAGATATTACCCTATTTACATTTATGTATCAAAATAAGACAACTGGTTAATGTTATATGCAGAATTTTACAGCTTGTCCAACTGTTAAAGTATGCTACAAGTTGATATTCACAACTTTAATAACTATTATACACCTCTTATTCCCAGTCCTGTCTAGTGGTGGAAAGTAACAAAGTGCATTTACTCGAATAACGTCACTGTACTTAAGAATGCTTTTTCAGGGTACTTTGCTTGAGTATTTATATTTTGTTAGTTTCTAGAAATACTATACGTCTCAATTGACTGCATTTATTTGAAAGTCTTAGTTCATATTACTTTATAGATTAATAACAGAAATATGAGGAGCTTATAAAATATGATGCAGTGCTTTAGTATTAAACTACATACGTGTATAAAATATCTAATAAAACTGGCTGTACATTAACAACTTAAAGGAGTCTTTCTGCTGATACTTAACGATACATTTTACATTTATATTTCCAATTCTACTTTTACTTAAGTAACACTTAATTTAATTTAATAGACTACAGAATTTCTATATTGGCATGAGGCATCCCATTTTCAGCGTTACAGTATGAAGCTAACAGGCCACTAAGGGAGACGTAGATAGCTCGCTACTTGTTTTTAAATAAACAAGTGGTTGAATTGTAAGGTAGCAGCATATATGCGATCATTAGGCGAAATGGTAGTTGAGTTAATAACTTCTAACGTTAAACTCGCTGTCTGTTGTGGGCTAAGCGGTTGATGCTAACACATTTGCTAGCTAACGTTAGCTAGCTAAAACTAGCATGGACGATTGTTGCTGAACAGCTTCTGAACATAACTACATGTATTTTAAAGAAAAGGTTAGTATAACTAGCAGAGCTAGAAACTAGAGAACATATAAATGTGTCCGTAGCTCTGGGTAAAAGCCTAGGTAGAGTAAACGATTACATTTACCAACGTGCAGGTGAAACAGTTAAACAAACCTGAAATACGCGCAGCGGTATTATGGCACACATACACCGGAAGTCTTAACGCGATAGTAACGTTTGTAAAACGTCCGGTGTGAAACAATAACTTCCTTGAACAAAATGAGGTACAACAAAAAATAGTAAACCCCTATTGACTGTTTACAGTATGGTTTGCAGTTCATACGTTAATTAAATAAAATTCAACAGGGCAATAATTCTCATCTGTATGACACATCAATATTACAAAGATTGGGAGAAATGAATGAAGAAAATTGTTTACAATGTTAAGAAAAAAAGATGGAATATAACCACTTTGGGGTCTGTCCTTTGGGGTTTAGTTACAGTAAAAAGACAAAGCAAGGGCATCCTTGTGTTAAATGCTGTTTATACTCTCTTTCTTAAACGAATAACTTGTTGTGTGTTAACAAAAACTCTACAAGAGTAGCTGTTTGGTTTGCACGTTTGATTAAATTATGCAGTGACTTTGACATCTTCTCCTCAAACAAAAATTAAACAAACATTAAACACTTTGAAATTGCTTCTGGGTATGAAGGCAATTTTCACTTTTAATTGATAGATAAAGTTGCTGTTTTTCGGCATCAAAGACTGTATAGGATCAACCACAAAGGAGGCCCCAAAAGGTAATTTAATGATTGGATGTCACATTTTATGATTGACAGGCCCATTATCAGCTGTGACCTTGTTAATGTTAAAAAATCCTGGATGGCCTCAATCCCAAATTTGCCAAAACGTTTGTGATTGATTATTTCTTATAACTCATCTTATGTGGATACC